ATGTGGTGACCCTTTAATACAGTTCCTCATGTTGTGGTGACCGCCACCCACTCCCCCCAACCATAAAATTATTTTCTTTGCTACTGTTATGAATCGGCAACCCCTGTGAAAGGGTCATTCAACACCCAAAGGGGTTGAGACCCACAGGTTGAGAACCACTGCTCTAAACTGAGCCTCCTGAAGCAATAGTGTGTTGTCTTTATCTAGAGTTTTATGTTGCATGTGTCACATCACGCATGTTAATTTTATCCCTATCTTCTCTCAAAGCTCAATGCAGCGGCGTCAGTTCTGATTCACGGTCACCCTAGAGGACAGGGTAGAACTGCCCCTGTGAGTTTCTGAGATTGTAAATCTTTATGGGAGTAGAAAGCCTCAAACTGCTAGCCTTGCTGTTAGCAACCTAACACATAGCCCACCATGCCACTTTCTCTAGCCTGACTAACTTTTCCTTTTGATACTTCACTTCATCATAGAGGTTTGGGCTTGGTTGATTTCCTCTTGAAATCATCAGTTATATTCGTCTTCTGTTCCAAAACTGTAATGAAAGATGCATGGTGACTCTGAGACCTGCAAAACCGAGGAAACACCAGTCTCTGAGGGTTGAAAAATGCAGGTAGAACAAACTCTCCAATTCTAAAACCATCTCTCGTGGAGGTACCTTTTTGAGGTAGAAGAAAGTTTCTGTTCAGGTGTGCTTCTTAGCTCTCTGTGGCTCTGGGAGAGTATAAATTAAAATAAACATGTATTTCAAGTACAGTATTTCACTTGGACGTTTTAAGAAGATTGGTAAGAGCCTCTGAATAGGCTCCCTCAGAGAAGGCCCTTACTGATCTTTTGAGGATTTCTGAAGCACTAACAGGTAGCTGAGATGGTAGGTCCTACTTGTTCTGAGTTTGATGTTGACAGGGTGAGTTCACAGACTAAACCAATGGTATTTCTTTCACTTGAGAAGCAATGTCTGCTGTTATTACAGGTTATTGGCATTATCTCATCATTTCTTTGTAAGAGCACTTTAAGAAATTAAGTAAAATTTTTCTGGTGGTTTGTAGTAACTGATTTGCTTGATTATAGATTTATTCTCTTACCATACATTTCTGAACATTTGTTGTCTGACTGTAAATTTCTAAAACCGTGAATCCTGATTTCTTTTTTCTGGGTCTCGGATCTGTATATTAACCATGATTGCAGCTAGTAACTACTGCATTAAGCATCTTCATCTCACATGGGTGCCTGCCTTTTGCTTGGCCGCTTACTCTCCTCTCCCTCCTGGTTCTTGCCTCCTTTTCTTTTCCTTGCCACTGGGATTTCTGAACCAAGATTGACCTGTTGCACCTGTCAGCCAGGTTTGCTGTGTTGGTGGTCTTTGCATATGGCTGGTGATTAGACCTACAGGGACACTTCCTCATAACCTTGAATGAGAGTAACTGGGATGGGGACCTGTCTGATTATGATGCAGCTGAACCTCAGCTGGAGTTGGAAGAGCCCTGTCTATACATATATAGCAGGAGAGAGGCCCCCTGTGGACCTTCCATTCTGATGGCTGGTTTTAGATGTAGGAAGCCACTGAGTCCATTGATGAGAGTGCATTTTCTGCCATTTGCCTCCTCAATTGCAGGGTTAAGTAAAAGCCCCAGACAATGACTCCAGTTCTTCACCTTGCTGCCTTTCAGAGTGGCCCCAGAGTAGAGCTGATTTTCAGAGACATTCCTCTTGGGTTTGGGTTGGGGGGAGGGGGGGGTGTCGTTGAGCCAGATGGGATTGGCAAGTGGCTCTTCCTTCCCTGCTTTGTAAAAAAAAAAATCTCCTGGGAAGCATAGGACTTTTATTCAGTCTGTTTCTGAAAATCTAAGTAAAACTCAGTTCCAGCCAGCACCTGGCAGTTGGTTGGTTAATAATGTTTTCTACATGGGTACCTTAAAGAAAAGGAAAAGGATGGAGCTTTCTTGAGAAAGTTCCTTTTCTGGTTTGTTCTGGACTCTTGGAAGTCCTGTTTCTCAGAAGGAAACGTTCCTGGCCAGGGACTTGGTGGCTGTCTTCTGCATTCTAGGTGGTGTGGGCTTGTGAAGCAGTTTCTGGTGGGTGAGAACTTACCTATTACTGGGGGTTAACTGGGGGGAAATGGGGACAGCATCAAGGTGTCTGATGGGCCCTTGAAGCCAACCTCCTGTAAGTTATAACAGAGGGAAGAATTACCTCAAGAACTTCAGGTCATTCACGGCCAGTGTCTGGACAAGGGATGCTTTCTCTGAACCCCACAGACAACAATAAATGCCGGGAGGGGTGAGAGTTCCAAGAACCCCAAAGGGATGGGTTAGACTTTTCAGACTACAGATGGCATCCTAGGTGGGGACACTGTGGAGGTCACAGTGTGGGGAGACTCCTGTGGGCTGCCGTGGAGAGCAGCCTGGTGAGCACCAGAGAAAGCCAATCTGGCTGAAGTGGTTAAAAGGTCACAGGTATAGTTGGGCCTCCTTTCCCCCAAAATTCCCTATGATACCAGGAACTTCCGGAACAATACACCTGTATGAATGAAGTTGTCGGGTAGAATCATGAGACACATTGTCTTGGTAGTCTACGGATATTTATTTCTATGCCATGCTTATACTCACACCACTACAGAGATACCTTGATTGTCCCATGCTCGAACATTCCAGTACTCGGAACAGCATGGTTAAAAAAAAAAAAATCTGCGTGGTGTTGGTAACGTTGCTCTGTCGTTGAACCGAAAATCTGACTTAAACAAACCTGCACAGGCCAGCGACACAGAGGGATAGTAACACTAGCCTGAGCACCACTCCAGCTCAGACAACATAGAGTGCTTGTTCAAACATTTGTCATTGGCTTTTTCCCCCCACTTTATTTGCATAAAATACAGAACCACGGCCCAAAGAAAGTTAGTGATACCAGCAGTGAAGCAAGCGGAAAACTGAGAACCACCATAGAGTTAAAGGAATCATTGCAAAATTTGAATCAGGTGTGGCTTGTCTGGTTTGCAGCTGAATACAACATGGCTAAGTCGACATTGTCAACATTGGGGTGGGGCTGATGTAGTGAGAGGTGTGAAATCATTAACCTCAAAACAAAGAACCCAGACCATCAAAGAGGTTGAAAAGTTACTATTACTTTGGGTAATTCTGAAGACGAGAAGGCTAAAAACCTCCATAGTGAATTTGCACATGTAATTTTTGGAGCCTCAGAACCAATTATTTGGTTCTGCATGACTTGTTAAGGGAAAAAATATGTCCCGTTCTCAAACTTTTCAATGCTCAAACACGAATTGGGAACGAATTGGGAACGAATTGGGTTCGACAGCTGATGTATTAGTCTGTACTTGGTGTGGATGCCACGGACTAGGAGAGGAAAGTCTACCACAGAGTCCAAATGGTCCAGTGACCCCTACTGGTTTCCTGGACAACCATCTTTTTCACTCTCGTGTCTTTTTATGGATTCAAGGTTCCAATTAGCACTGCTATGGGGAGCCCGAGCGACACTCAGAGGTGGAATCTTCCACATTTGGGTACCCAGTGCCCACTTTGGAACAGCCTTGCTGTGTGGACCTGGAGAACAAGTCACATGGGCGCTTGACTGCTGGGCAGTTGATTCCCAGCCCCAGCCAGCCACCCTCCCAAGCAAAAGTGGTGGCATGTTTGGGCCTTCCAAGCACCACCAGCCCTGCAGTTGCTGGAGCTAGCAGCTGCATGCAGCTTATGAAATCAAATATTTTAACCAAACTGGATGGATGAATTCATTATTCGAACCTCAAATGGAAAATAAGAGTCAAAGTCCTGATCTATGTTTGATTCTTAGTAATTTTGATCATTGCCCTTATAAACATTTTTGCAGTTAGCATATTTAAATGGGTCAAAAGTGTAACATGGTATAGTGAAAAGCCTTATGTATTTAGTCCACTGCCCCCAACTGCCCAGCTCCTGCCCACATAAGTATGAAACCACTTTGTACTCGTTTCTTCTATAGCATCCTTATAGATAGAAAAGGATAAATATATGAATATGCTGTTTTACTCCTACCACTTTACACAGACGCTAGCCCATTGTATACACTTGTATGCTCCTTGGAGAGACCCTATATTGCTGGAAGAGAGGAGCAAAATCAGTGTAATAAAGGTGTGTACATTACTTTTCTGGAACACTTGGCCTGATGGGGGAGCAAGGTGGACTTGGAGTTTGTCAGTGCTAATCATGCTGTCTTTGACAAGATTTTATGATGATTTTAATGAACCGTAATACAGAAATGATACTTGTTTCTTGGGCATTGACATTGGAGGGGGTTGGGATGGGGGCTTGTCAGTGAGGCATTTCCATGTCACTTGGGCCTGTGATCATTTTTGGTGCCCCTGTTGTCTGTCTGTCTCATAACATCCATCTCCCTTGATGACTGCCATTCATTCTGTACTTTCCCCATCTTTTTTTGTCTGTGAGCTGTTTTTTGCTTTCTTGTTATTCCCCAGCCCGACACGGGTTTGCAGGGAGTGAATCGATTTTCAGTCTTGCCAGCGCAAATGCTCCAGCCCCTCATTCTTCTCCTTTCTCTACCAAGCAGCCTTTCTTACCACTGTCATGACACCTCAGCCAGTTGGGTTCCTCCAGAGCTCTGCCGTCACTCAGAGCTCGGCGCTTTAAGGGGCACTGGCGGGGCTGCAGTGGCTTTTCGGTATTGTGGACCCTGTAGACTCGTTCACCTCCCTCAGTAAGCAAGTGAGCGATGGGGAGCCATGAACAACCTTGAAAGGGCAGGGTCTTGCATGCTTTTCTCCCTTGTAACTCCTTCTCTTTTTATCCTTTCCCCCCAATTGAAATATCAGGCCCTCATCTTTTAATTTTGTTTCCATTTGAGTCAAATCAATTAGTGGAAAGTTATGTCTTTTCTTTTTTTTATTGTTGATGTAAAGAATGATAGATGGGCAGGGATTGGCCCACATTTAGGATGACAAGATACAATGAGACTTAAATTAACTTAATGTTTCCTGTAATCTATTCCAGCAACTCTACCAGATCCTGACAGACTTTGATATCCGGTTTTATATGTATGAACTACTTAAAGTAAGTAGCATTCATTAAACAGTACATTGTGGTACCCGTTCATGAAAGGGAAAGTTTTTGAGAAGACAGAAGCCAGACAGGACCCAACACTTGAGTAGGCTGTATTATTTCTATTGTCTGGTGACCTCTAACGTGGCACCTTCAAGAAGCTTGCCAGTGGGACAACTCTTGGGAGGGGTGCTAGGGCCCTCCCTCCCACCACAGCTCCTTTTGGCCCTGGACTTTTCTCTTGGTTGTGTAATTACTACTTAGTGTTTGTTTTTGCTGTATAAAAAAAAGTCACCTTACACATAATAGCATTTTTTAAATGGTTTGTTCTTTCACACAATTCTATGGGCTCCTTGGGTGGTTCTTTCTGGCCTAAATCAGCTCAAGTGGGACAAGGGCCCAGGCTGAGCTCGTTCCGTGCACGCTCAGCTGGGCTTCTTCCCTTGGCCTCCCTGACCAGCAGCAGGAGAAAGACAGGTCTCGGCCCACTGCTATAAGTGGTTACTTATGTATTCTGCTGTCTTACTGGCTGGAGCAGGTCATGTGGTCATGCTTTGGGCTCAGAGGGCTCCACTTCAAGGTCACATTGCGGAGGGGTGTGCATACAGAGGTGACAGGCTTCCTGTGAACATTCTAGGAGATGTACTAATCCCAAACGGGATAAAAGTTTGAAGCATTGCTAATTGATGGAGGGATGATCTTTTCTTCCCCGATCTGCTGAAAGTATCCAAATCTACTTGGTGGCACTAAATAACTGCAGTAGAGCATTTCAAAACAAGTCTGTAAAATGCAAGGGACCAGCAATGGGTCGCTTTTAGAGTAATGCAGCCCTGAGAGTTTGGGGAAAGATACAGACTCCTCTAAAGTACATGTGTAGACCTACAATATTTTACTTGAAATGTTAGGGACCTCAGATTAAAAACCTCAAGTTAAAAAAAAAAAGATGAAGATATTGAAGAAAACTAAAAGGTGGAGTTTTGATGGAATCATTTCATTGGTTGAATGAAATACCCAGTTGAATAAGACAGGGCTTTATGAATGGGGATTTGAGGAACCAGCTCTGAAATGCATGTATTTTCTTTCAAGCGCTTATATAAGCACTTGCCGTTAGAGAGGACCAAGGCAGTGGGTTTAGGGTTCCACCCTTCTGTCTAATGGGTCTTCTGTTTGCCAGTAAGAAGAAAAGGACAAAGAATCGGGAGTCTGAATTTCCCCACCTTTTCCCTGTCCCCTCAGACTAGAATGGCAGGGCTCGGGCCCATGACTGACTGACTGCTGTGCCGTGCTGGCTGGGCTCCTACTTGGAGAATCCATTCTCTCCGGGAGAGCTGCTGTCCAGACTTAACGATGGATTATTCTTAAGTAAAACTGAGGTTTTAGCCAGCACTCAGGGTAAAAATTTCTTATCTTTCACAATCTTTAGGCCAAATACAGATACCCCAGCAGTACAGGTCTCGAAAGGCTGGGCAGTCGTGTGGCCTTCACCGCCCAGTGTCCTTCCTGCTTTCTAGAGGGGCAGATTGGCAGTCAGGACATAGTTCCTTCTGCCAAATAAGGTGTAGACTTTCCAGATGAAACTTGGAAAGTGGGCTCCGTGCTTATGGTCAAGAATGGTGCCAGATTTTTTAACTGAAATCATTTTCCCCAACAAATTGAAAAGCATGTCAGTAACTCCACAGGGAGTCTGACCAGTGAACTTGGCAAAAGAATTAATTACCTCACTGCATTTGTTCAGGTAATTTTCATGGCCCCGGTATTGTGGTCCTAATTAGTTTACTCCTTGGGTCCTAATTAGTTTACTCCTTGGGGGCAAAGAAAAGGGATGGAAAAAAGAACAAATCAAAGACCAGTGCTAGATTTTTCTACTTGAAAGGGAGTGGGAAGAGTAAATTTAATGTCATTTAAACTAAGATGTGTTTGGAGAATTCGAACTTTGGGAGTCCTGGTTGCAGAAGGCACTACCACAGGGCCACTGGACGAAAATGATTGTTGTCATTGACTTTCCAAATAAAAAATTACACATTGAGATGGAACCAGTCTTCAGGGTACAGTATTCGGGCTTTACATGTATGACATCTTTACCCTGATGGTGTGTGGCTGGACTCTGCAGAAGAGAGTAGCTGTCACCCTAGGGAGGCTACTGAAATTAAGTAAGATAAAAATTCTCTTTCGTGGTTACACTAGCCACATTTCCAGTGTGATTAGTGGCTACCATACTGATAGGCAAATGTATGCTATTTCTCTCATTTGAAGAAGTTCTAGACCCGGCTAGCTGAAACTATTGTGACACCCGGGCAGCTCTCTAGCGCCCTCTCCCCATTGCCCCTCTTCTCAGTGGTCTCTACCTTTTACCAGTTGTGCGTGCTTTTGACCATCCTATAAAGGGGATCGGGGAATGCTGATCCTAGGAATCACACTCTCCCTTGTCTGGTCATTTTCTACATAAGCCCTTACTTGTCTGTGGTGCTCCACTGGGTCAGATCTTCTCTTCTCTTCGCGCCTCCCCCTGGGGAAATTGGCAGTGTCTTGAACCAGTTTTGGTTGTCACAATTAGAGAGGTGCTGCTAGCACCTATTGAGTAGAGGCCAGGAATTCTACCGATTCTCTAGTGTACAGACCAGCTCCCCACAGTCAGGAATTCTCCAACCTCAGGGCCACGCACAGCGTAATTGTCATGCGAGTGGGGCTGCTGTCCTTATCAAGGCGCCCCAGCAGCACATTGGTTCAAGAGGTGGCCGTCGTTGGCTCCGGGGAGACTCTTGCCTTGCAAACCCTTTGGAGCAGGTCTGCTCTGCCTGAAGCATAACTGAGTGTGAATCGCTCATGGCAATGGCTTTTGGTTGGATCATTATTGTTTCAGGAGCAAGTCACGGGTCTCGGAGGACTTTTGAGTCAAGCAAAGGATTCTAACTTAGAAACTTAAGAAAATAATGATCAGGTTAGGAAAGGGAGATTTTTATATTCTTTATTTTTTAATTTGACAACACAAAAATATGACCAAATGATTTGAATCAAGATTTCTTCCAAGAATATGCAAATGAAAAGATTCTCACCATCATCAGTCATTAAGAGAAAAATACAAAGCAAACGATAGTGAGGTACCATGGCATACTTCACTAAGGTGGCTGATCCAAAAGATGAACAGTGACAAGTGTTGGTGAGACTATGGAGAGACTGGAACCCCCTTAGGTCACTAGTGGAACTTTAAAATGTCACAGTGGCCATGAAAGATGAAACTGGAGGCGCAGGGGGAGACTGGTGCCGTTGCCTCCTGACATTTCCTACCTTCCAGCCCTCAGACTCATCGCTATCCTGAGACCCTCACCATGCCTCACATCGACAACGATGTGAAACTGGACTTCAAGGATGTCCTACTGAGGCCCAAGAGCAGCACCCTAAAGTCTCGAAGTGAGGTGGATCTCACAAGATCCTTTGAATTTCGGAATTCAAAACAGATGTACACAGGGGTTCCCATCATTGCAGCCAATATGGACACTGTGGGCACCTTTGAGATGGCCAAAATTCTTTGCAAGTTCTCCCTCTTCACTGCCATCCATAAGCACTACAGCCTCGAGCAGTGGGAAGAGTTTGCTATTCAGAATCCTGACTGTCTTGAGCATCTGGCTGCCAGTTCGGGCACAGGCTCCTCCGACTTGGAGCAGCTGGAACAGATCCTGGGTGCTGTCCCCCAGGTGAAACATATCTGCCTGGACGTGGCAAACGGCTACTCAGAACACTTCGTTGAATTTGTGAAGGACGTGCGGAAGCGCTTCCCCCAACACACCATCATGGCAGGGAACGTGGTAACAGGAGAGATGGTGGAAGAACTGATCCTCTCGGGCTGACATCATCAAAGTGGGCATCGGGCCAGGTTCTGTGTGTACCACCCGGAAGAAAACAGGAGTGGGGTATCCGCAGCTCAGTGCAGTGATGGAGTGTGCCGATGCTGCTCATGGCCTCAAAGGCCACATCATTTCAGATGGCGGCTGCAGCTGTCCTGGAAATGTGGCCAAGGCTTTTGGGGCCGGGGCTGACTTTGTGATGCTGGGCGGCATGCTGGCAGGGCACACCGAGTCAGGTGGCGAGCTCATCGAGAGGAATGGCAAGAAATACAAGCTTTTCTATGGAATGAGTTCTGAACTGGCCATGAAGAAGTACGCAGGGGGTGTGGCCGAATACAGGGCCTCAGAGGGCAAGACAGTGGAGGTCCCCTTTAAAGGGGAGTGGAGTATACCGTCCGAGACATCCTTGGAGGAGTCCGCTCAACCTGTACCTATGTGGGAGCAGCTAAGCTGAAGGAGTTGAGCCGGAGAACTACCTTCATCCGCGTCACCCAGCAGGTGAATCCAATCTTCAGTGAAGAGCGCTAGACCTGGAGTTCTGTCCACCCTCCCAAGATACCAGGGCCCCTCCCCAGTCCCAGCTCCTCCTGCTACTTGCTATGAGCCTTTTCTCGTCCTCCCGCTCCCGAGGGCACCTGCAGCAGCTCTGCACCCCTCTGCCTACACATGCAACACCAAGGGCACTCCCTGGGGACGAAGTAAGGAGTGATGAGAATCTGAGGAAATGAAAATAATCAAATGGCAAACTGGGGGCCCGGCAGCCAGAAGATTACTGACAGGAAAAGACGCTGAGTTATAATGACCTTGGTCTGGACCATGCAGGCTTATTTAGAATCATGATTTGGTCATCGGCTTCATTAAACCAGACTTGACTACTCAGAAAAGAAAAAAAAAGAAAAAAGAAAGATGAAACTGAGCATACAACCCAGCATTTCTACCTTTAGTAATCTGAACTGACAGCACGTGGACCCTTGAAGACTTGTACACAAGTAGATTTTCACAGCCGCATCATTCATAATGGCCCCAAACTGGAAACAACCCAAATGTCCATTGACTGATGAATCCATGCAATGAAATACCCCAGAGCAAGGAAAAAGGCAACACGGATGATGCCCTAGAGCATGCTTCGTGAAAAAGGCCAGAGTAGTACTATCTGTTGTATGATTGCATTTATCTGAGTATCAGAAAAGAACATTGATAGCAACGGGCCAGTGGTTGGGGGGGCTGTTGGGGGAGTGGGGATTGACAACCAGCCATGAGCTCAAGGGGATGTTTTAGGGTGGTGGGAATGTTCTCAAACTAGGTTGTGGTAATCCCTCTGTACACGTACTTAAAAAGCGTGGGCTCCCACGTTGAAGAATCTACCTGCATATCAGTTTTCTCTGAAACGTGCGCCATGTTGAGAGGCCTGTGAGAGTGTCGTTCTTCGTGTCCACTTGCATTTAACACATGCTGTGAACACACTATCCACTGTGACTCCAGGGCTGGTCCCAGATCTGGTTTGAAGCACATCAAATGAATGTGCTTTATAACTCCAGGTAGCAGATAAATTGCACCGGGCGACAAGGGCATCAGCCGTTTCCTTAAATGGGCCTCCTGGCCTTGGTGCTCCCTGGTGGCCTCTGGTGGAGCTGCTGGCATTCACAAACAGAGAGAGCAGTGGGGGCCTTCTGAAGCGTGTTTTCTCTTTTTTACAGTAAGCTGCCCTTGGGGGGGGGCGGGGGGGCGGGGTTCAGTCAGGGCGTCACCCAGAGAAAGCTGAGGAATCGGCATGCGTTGGCAACCATTGAGGCTGTACTCACTCCTCTCTATGCGCTCTCACCTCACAGGCTCTGGATTACTGCCACAGCAAGGGGATCATGCACAGGGATGTGAAGCCCCATAATGTCATGATAGATCACCAGCAGAAAAAGGTACTGTTGGGCCAGACGGCCTCAAGCTCCTCGTTAGGGAGCTCAGAGCAGCCCCCTCACTGCCCAGTGCCCCGCAATGGATGCCGAGCTGTGGCTGGGGGCTTTGGAAGACCTGTGCCGCTGCTGGCTCCTCTGCATTTAGCGAGGTGCACCAGGAAAGTGACAGTCCTACTGTAGTCACTTGTTTGTTTGGACATGGTTCTCTCGAGAACCCCAGGGAAAACTTTGCTGCTGCTGGTTTCTCCCTCATTTCTTAATGACCTTCAGACCAGTGTGCCTGGCTTTGAAAGCACACTTGATTATTATCCTTATCCAACTCTGCTTATCCCTAATTGGTGAATAAATGAATCAGCTGGTATTCAGTTAATGAGGATCCGGAGCCGGGCTTCTGTCCTGGGATGGATGTGCCCCTGATCCTGTCATTTACACTCCAGGCTGACAGTGAAAAATGAATGATGGGAGAATATGGTGCACAGCGAAGAGCTATGGAGGCAGGAAGAAGAGAGTGAGCTGTCTTGATAAACCTTGATAAATAAGGATAACATTGTCTAATTTGCTTTTAATAGCAGATCAGGTTCTGGGTGCTTTGGAAATGACCCCTCTGCGGTTGTTAAACTTGGGGTTTTAGCCAGTGCATTGCTGGCCAGCTCCATCGGTGTGATGTGGCTCTGCGGATGCGCAGGCATCTGGGAGCACTCCTTTCACGTGTGTTCTTTGTCATATCTGTAGTTGCGACTGATAGATTGGGGTCTGGCCGAGTTCTACCATCCCGCGCAGGAGTACAATGTCCGGGTGGCCTCGAGGTACTTCAAGGGGCCTGAGCTCCTTGTGGACTATCAGGTAGGATGCGAAGGTTGGCGGGTGACTTGGCTCAGTTTGCTGGTGCGTCGTCAGTTTAATGCAGTCATATTCCACCCCACTCCAGTGTTAATCAGATTTTTTTTTCCTCCAGCAGACTTTAATTTTAACTGTTTTGGCTTTGAATTCTAAAGTCTGCAAAGGTCAAGGGAAGGCTAAATGTAGATGAGGATAAAGAAGTGTCTATTGCCCTTGACTGACTATAAACTGCATGTTTCCTCAGATGTATGACTATAGCTTGGATATGTGGAGTTTGGGCTGTATGTTAGCAAGCATGATCTTCCGAAAGGAACCCTTCTTCCATGGACAGGACAACTATGACCAGGTGAGCACACACCACTCAAATCCCATTATTTTGGGGTGCATGTCAAGAAAATTGTATCCTTAGATAGCGATTAAGATCCTTGAGCCACTGGGTAGCACTCCTTGTGTGCACTTCAGCTTTTCTTCAAGGTAAAGTACTTCACAAATTGTAATGGTGGCTCTCAGGCCCCAGGGAGACAGATCAGGCTAATGCTTTCTGTGCCCTGCTTACAAAGTAACAACTGTGAGGGGGTCAAGTAAGATGATTTTAGTCCTGGATGGTGTTGCTCCTGTATTTGCCATCTTCCAGAAAGTTATTGTCCTTGTAGGCGGGAAATGTGGGCATTTTGTGAACCTGTGTCCTTGGGCGGGCATGCCTGCCCTAGACCCTGGCCTGAATTGAGCCCCATGCTCACTGGCTTGGTCTGGTTGCTCTGTGTTTCAGCTTGTCCGCATTGCCAAGGTTCTGGGTACAGAGGAGCTGTATGGGTATCTGAAGAAGTACCACATAGACCTGGACCCACACTTCAACGACATCCTGGGACAGTAAGTAAGAGGGCTGTCACTTGCTGTTGGTCACAAGTGCAAAGGTTAGCCAAAATCACTTTTTGAAATTCTTTCCCCTTTCGAATCACGAGAGTTGAAAAACCCTTCTTCAGGATCAGGTGTAAGGCATCATCAGAACAAACAATCTTACCATAGTGAATGAGGGGGGAGTGCGGAGTGGAGACCCAAAGCCCATTAGTAGGCCACTGGAGATCCCCTTGCAGAGGGGTCTCGGGGAGGAGAGGAGCCAGACAGAGTGCAATGTAGCAGCGATGAAAAATACAACTTTCCTCTAGTTCCTAAATGCTCCCCCCTCCCCCCCCCCAACTGTCATGATCTGAATTCTACCTTGCAAGTCTGGCTAGACCAGAGGGTGTACACTGGTACAGATAAGAGCTGGAAATACAGGGAATCCAGGACGGATGATCCCTTCAGGACCAGTGGTGTGAGTGGCGATACTGGGAGGGTAGAGGGAGAGTGTGGAGAGCGAATGTTTTGAGAATGATGAGGGCAATGAATGTACAAATGTGCTTTACACAATTGATGTATGTATGGATTGTGATGAGTCGTATGAGCCCCTGATAAAATGATTTAAAAAAAAAAGAAAAAGCCTTCTTGTAATACATGTGAGCTGTTTATTTTGTTTAACTTACCGTGAGATGCTCCATGTTTCCACATGCCTTCTAATAATTTCTCTGAAAGAATCTATTTATCAATAGAAAATTGAAAACTGTTAACTCACAATGTTACTCAGAGCTTTCTGGTACAGAATTTTCCCCTTTGAAAGGCAAACCCAGGAAGCGGTAACTCTTTCTTTTGATTCGGCGATTGTATGCTTTCTTAGTATGCAGTATGGTCTACAAACGGACGCCAAAAACGTGCTACCAGATTGTGGAGAATTTGACAAGGGTGTTTGAAATCGTTTCTTGGAGAATGAAATTTTTATCACTTTTGGATTAACATCAAAAAGTGGAACTGTTGTTTCTCAAAATACCTTCCATCTTGGTTTGAACACTTAGGAAAGCAGTTTGTCCATCTTTCTAACCCTCCCCCAAAGAATTCTATGCCCCTCAAGTTACAGCTTGAAAACAGCAGTTTGGGCATCCCCAAGGAACTCCAATCACCTTCCTTAGAAGGTGTCCCAAGAAAACTCTCGGGGAAAAATGAGGACCTAATGCTGGGGGTTTAAGTGGAGAGAAAATGTTTTGAGAATGATGAGGGCAATGAATGTACAAATGCGCTTTACACAATTTATGTGTGTATGGATTGTGATAAGAGTTGGATGAGCCCTAATAAAATGGTTTTTTTTAAAAAAAGAGTCGTATGAGCCCCTAATAAAATGATTAAAAAAAGAAAAAGAAAACTCACAGGACAGCTAGGTTCCCCTCAAAGAGGGGGGGAGTGAGTATGTTAGCGAAATACTCCTCAGCACAACGTTCCGGGCAGTTATAAGTTTGTCCAAATGTCTTCATAGTAAGCTGCCCCTGTGTCCATCAGTCTGTCAGTCTTCATGTTCACCAGTCTACCCACATGAACCCTTTGGAGTCGCAGGAAAACAGCCACCATAGCCTTCGGAGCTGACCTCTGCCTTGAATTCCACTGGCCCACCAGAACCCAACTGAAGTGACGGTTTGGGTTGGACCTTGCTCTCTGGGTCATTGATCCTCACCCCGTTAGGATTCCTTCTATAAAATGGTTGGCTCTAGCTTTGATCATTCCTGAAAGGCTGATGGAAAAATCGGCTCTTTGAACTAGCTGATCTTCCTCCTACCGTTCACACCCACCGAGCTGAAAGCCCACTGGTACCAAGGTGTCCACCTTACACCGAAAATGCTGGGCCACGTGAGCTCCCCAACTTCAGGAGCTAATACTGTGGGGTGGGGCGCCCCCACCCAGGACTGGGCTTCAGCCACAGGCTCTTCATTTATCCAGGTTGACCTTCTTTGTTTAAAATCCATTTAAAACTGTTACATCATGTAGGGCAGCATTTCTACATGTAAACTTGTTGCAAAGCTTCAGTGACTTGGGAAAATTACTGAAGCGATTCGAGTTTTGTTAAAGTTTCAAGGATAGCCCTGACCTCAAAATCATTTTGTTTCCCTGTGTTACAAAGAGTTTTTATTGTTTTGATTTCTCCCCCCCCCCCCACCTCTCTCGTGGCATCTTAATGAAACTAAAACGAGTATGACTGAGAACTTGTCTGGGGCCACCCACTGGTCCAGAGCCAGGCTTAAACACATTTGTGTCTAATATGCCCGGGCGGGCGAGTGTGAACTGGAATTCCAGTAGCAATGCCTTTTGACTTACAGTCAAGTGGTCGTGTGAAGAAGGGAAGGTGTGCAAGTACAGAGGTGTGAAGAGTACTTGGCCATTGTCAAGCGATGTTTTATGGAACCTTCGGGTTTCTGAGGATAGAGAGCTCTTTCCAAAAATCTAGTAACCAATAAAAATTATCGCAGAGCTTCCAGGCCTTGCCCAGAATTGACTGAAACGTCTGTGGGTAATCTCGGGAACCCCTACAGTTTCTAAGCCAGATGGTAAGAGTTTTAGTTAATGCTGTGATTGGTTGGGGGGAGGGGGTGGGCGATAAGTGTGAGATTAAGCCCCTAGGTCAGTCAGCTTGTCATCAGGATACTCTTGTTATCCTGCTTGATGCAGCCCAGAGCGATCAGCGTTCTGATGGGTCTTAGTCTCAGAATATGATGCTTTGCTCTTCTCTTCAGACACTCTCGGAAACGCTGGGAAAACTTTATCCATAGTGAGAACAGACACCTGGTCAGCCCAGAGGCCCTAGACCTTCTGGACAAGCTTCTGCGATACGACCATCAACAGCGACTGACTGCCAAAGAGGCCATGGAGCACCCTTACTTCTGTGAGTCTCGAGCGCTACTGTCAGAGCACCTTGCTTGTTAGAGGGGATGTCTTCTGCCCTTCATTGGTGAGGCCTGGCTGGAGAGTCCTGCAAGTTTCCATTGAATTATCCTTAGAATTTGGCCTCCTCAGTTTCCTGGGCCCGAGTCCTGTCTGTGGCCCTGGGTGAAGGGATCACACCTGTCTGGTGTCTGTTCTCTAGCCTGTACATGTGTGCGGCTAATCAGAGGGTTTTTCTCACCTCCCAAAAGCAAGTAACTAAGAGTAACACCAAACTATGCCCTTGAGTGAAGCCAACTCATAGCGACACTTTAAGACAGGGTAGAAATACCCTGTGGGTTTCCAGGACTATAAATGTTTACAGGAGTAGAAAGCCCAGACCTCTCTCGAGCAGCTGGTAGTTTTGAACTGCTGACCTTATGGTTAGCAGCTGCACTTATAACCACTACGCCGTTGAGGCTGCAATTAAAAGTAATAGGTAGTAGAACAAAAAATCATATCAGTGGGTGCCCACCTTCCCGATATGATTGCTGAAAACAAATGTGTGCGTAAGCAAATGTGGTGAAGAAAGCTGATGGTGCCTGGCTATCAAAAGCTATAGCGCCTGGGGTCTTAGAGGCTTGAAGGTAAACAAGCGACCATCTGGCTCAGAAGCAAAAAAGCCCACATGGAAGAAACACACCAGGCTATGTGACCACAAGGTGTCAAAGGGATCAGGTATCAGGCGTTCATATCATTTTGAATGATGGGGGTGCAGAGCAGAGACCCAAAACCCATCTGTAGGCAACTGGACACCCCCTTACAGAAGGGTCGTGGGGAGGAGACGAGCTAGTCAGGGTGCAGGGTAGCAACAATGAAACATACAACTTTCCTCTAGTTCTTAAATGCTTCCTCCCCCCACTATCATTATCCCAATTCTACTTTACAAGTCTGGCTAGACCAGAGGATGTACACTGGTACAGATAAGAGCTGGAAATACAGGGAATCCAGGACGGATGATCCCTTCAGTACCATTGGTGACAGTGGTGATACCTGGAGGGTGCAGGGAAGGTGGGGTGGAAAGTAGGAACTGATTACAAGGATCTACATATAACTTCCTCCCTGGGGGATAGACAACAAAAAGTGGGTGAAGGGAGACGTCGGACAGTGAAGATATGACAAAATAAATTATCAAGGGTTCATGAGGGAGGGGAGAAATGAGCTGATATCAAGTAGAAAGCAAACATTTTGAGAATGGTGATGGCAACAAATGTGCTTAAAACGATGTATATATGGATTGTGATAAGAGTTGTACGAGCCCCCAATAAAATGATTTTTTTTTTAAGTACTAGGTAGTCGTGCTAGGGGATTTCTAAAGAAGGAAATTAATCCGTAAGAGAAATTTCCAACAGACACAAATGGAAGGACCTCACTCAGATCCTAAGTGCCTCACCACGTGTGCCTCATCCTGTTCTGTTCTTGTGGCTGCGGGTGGTTCTGCATGCTGACCCCTCGTGCCACTGACACAGTGTGTGTCCAGTAAGGTTTACAGCAAAGTGAGCTGACACCGCTCAGGCCTTGAGGGAAGTGGAGGATAGCAGATGTAACGGACTTAACTCCATTTACTCTCCATCAAGATTAAATGTTTACCCTTTAGTTTGTTGCTTGAGCACCATGCAGTCTTTCCCTCTCCTCTTCTCCTGAGAGATTAGGGTTTCCTCGCTGGCTCCTCCTCGTTGTTACCTTCCATCGCTGCTGAGGCGGCTCTGACCGCAGAACTAGTCGCCGCCAGGTCCTGGACTGTTCTCACTGGCGTTGGCACGTTTTGGTCCCTTGTCGCAGCCGTTAGGTCAGTCTACCTTAGAGAGTGTCCTTTGCTGTCACTGACCCTCTGCCCGCCCATAACCATATGTAGACAGCAGGTTTAGAAGGCTTTTCCCTTCCACCTTCATGACTTTAGTCAGGTGCAACTTAGGTGTGTAGCTTCTGCCACGGAAAGCAGTTTTGACCCTTTGTGTTAGACATAACGAAAGCCGGTGTGTGGTTTTGTCGTCGTCTGTGTCAGTGCTGTGCTTATACATCACACTTCAGTCAGAAGGTTTCTTTGTTTTGTTTCTTAATGACTGTTGCTTAATACCCTTTTGTGTAGTGTCTTCCCTAAAGCAGTTACTATTGCTTATGCTGAATTTGGCCTTGAATGTAATGTTGGATTCATAGAGAATCAGTGGAGGTTTTGAAGAGGGAGAAGCAGGGTTTCTGTGCCGCTCTTTGCAGTGGAATTGGCATTCTCGGACGTTTAAGGCCTATCCCCTGGTCACTTTCTAGCGTCTGATTCTTAGAGAACCTAAGATCTCGGGCAACCATTGTGCTTTTTTTCCCTCCTGCCTTATTGACCCTGGCTCTTCCCCTACGGTCCACATCGGTCCCTCTCTCCTGATGGGTGGAAGAGGAGGGGGTGTCCTGGCCAGCAGCCCTGGCTTGGCTGACCTCTGCCCCGTTTTTGTTCTCTTGCAGACCCTGTGGTGAAGGAGCAGTCACAGCCAGGCGCAGACAACGCCGTGCTCTCTAGTGGTCTCTCGGCGGCACGATGAAGACAGGGAGCGCTGGGTAATGCGGCATTGATGCTTGCCAATAAACCAACCAACCAAAACACAAACCATGAAGGAGAACTACAGTGTGATACAAAGAAATCCTAATCGTTCCTTCTAAATGCAAAGAAGAGAATAAAGACCTAAAAGTCAAAAAGCAAGCAAGAAAGAAACTCCCCAGTACTAGTCTGCAGGGAGCTGCCCCTGGCAGGGGCAGCGTGCCGGTGCACATAGTTCAGGATCTGCGGGAACCTCCGCTCCCCTTGGAATGCATGGGAGATGAGAGACTCGGAGTTGTTGTACATTTACCTTTATTTAACAGGCGACACTGTTGAATTTACCCATTCGGTCAACAAGCTCTGAATATCTGACTTCCTATCTATTCCACAGTGGTCTGGGTTTCCTCGGGCGAGATTCAGGCTCATGTTTTAGCAAAGCGTCAGCACTCTAAACTGACACACCAGCCTCATTTACAAAAAGGAGATATTAAAAAAGTGACAGTATTTCTTTTCTTTTTTTTTTAAGCTCTTTTTAAAATTCATGTTTTGTGTTTTGTTTTTTTAATGACATGAGCGCTCTTGGAGCTGTACCTCATCCTCACAGTTTCCCTCGAAGGGTGGATTCACTTGGGAACAGACTGCAGTCACTTTCACAAAAGAGTTCTCTGTTGGGGGGCGGGGGGAGGGCACCACCTTAGACCTTGGCTGCGCAAACAGGTCCAGCAGCTTTATGCTGGATGCTAAGGGTGTGACCCAGAGCTCACACTGTAACCTTCAATGATTCACCCAACAAATCTGGTTGCTTTCTTTGGGGGGGTTCTTGTTTTTGTTTGTTGGGGGGAGGGGGCTTTTGTTTGTTTTCAGCCTTGTGGAAAACTCGCCTTTTCCACACAGCCCCATGCACCAGTCATAGTGCACTTCTGTGGAGCAGGCTTTTCTGTTCAGAACTGTAATACAAGCTGGACAGTCAGTCTTCAGGCCGGTCAGGACGGGCAAGAAAGGTCCTACGAAGAGTTTATTCCAGAAAAAACGACTTACTGGGTGGAAGCCATGTACTCCTCTGCCGCCGAGTTCCCCCTCTTTTTTTTATCCCCATGAGAGAAAATGATTTTCTGCTATCATCAGGGTCGCGCCTTCTTAAGCTCTGAGGTGTTAAATATTGGTGGATTTGATGAAAAAGAGTGGTCTTCTTCACATGCAGGCATTGTAGTTGTGGAGACCAGGCCACTCAGTAACCCAAGCAACTAGAGGGAAGGAATATGCAAGGAGCTTGGGGGAAGACATGGAGCGGTTGGAGCAAGTGTTGCTTTTTGCCCATTGTGCTATCCTGCACATGAGCAAAGGAAGCTAGCTGCTGTTGGGTTTTCTTTTTTTCCTCCTTCTCTTTTAGGGCAGGCTTAATTGTGGGGACCCATCAGCAACATGGTTTGCAGGCGGTCAGTCCCCTCACCCCTGCTGCCCTTTGGAGTCCCAGCTGGGGCTGTGGGGATGCCACACACCTGGGCTCGAGCTAGCGGTGTCTACCACCAATTACATCACACCTTCAGCTTTCTTTAGTTAGCTATTTAATAATGCCATACATTTTTATAAGGTTAGATTGTTTGTTTGGAACATCTGTTTACATTCCATATTCCAATAAAATCGTATTGGTATCGGTAGCAGGTCCAATCTCTAACTGTAGATTCTGTTTTTGTTGTTTGGTCTGTGGGAACTTCAAAAACAAATAAAACTCTTCTCTTAGGAGAGATGAGTTTGCAGATCGAAAAGTAAGAGCCCAAAGGCAGGAAACCGTGTCCTGATGCGGTTCTCATGTTAGTACACCTGCCTACGGGAAACAGGCTGTGTTTTAATGTGTGTGTTTGTTCTGCCTGAAAAATCACAAGACCTGGGTCTCTGCTGAACCTCTGTCCACGTGCCAGGCAGCAAAACTCAGTGTTTGAGATTCCCAGAGGCCTTCTATTGTGTCCCTGCAGGCCACACTGCAGCTCTGGCCCCTACCAGGGAGCTGTGCTTCCTACCTCCCTGCTCCACCTCGCCTGCTCCCCCTTTTTGTTTTTGTTTTTTTAATTTGTCTGAACCAGCCAAGAGGCGCCTACAGGAGAGGCCGCTGAAGCTGTGACCCTGTTTCTCTCCCTTGGCTGCCCCAGCGTGTCAGGCGGCGACTCGGCTGGTCCACCTTGACTGCTCAGCTGTGTTGGCCGGCCACCAGCTCTCCGTCAGGCTGGCCTGATGCACTTGGATAGCGGCACCCTGTTTCCTTCTCCAGCACCTCTGCTTACGATCTCTCCTCGCGCCTTAGACTTGGCCAGGGCTGGTGTGAAAGGCTCCCTCCTGAGACTGACCTTGCCCTGTGGATGTGCTGGCCTTGCTCTGAGCTGTTTTCTCCCAGGCTGGAGGAGTCCAGACCTCTGCTGGCACACCTGTCACCAAGACTGGTGTCCAGAAGGCCAGGCTCCCCTGAGACCCCATTCTTTCTCGCGGAGAGCTCCAGAATGACCTTGAGTTTGGGGGGGGGGTGTCGGGTAATGTGGAGGAAAGGGGTCTTTCACCAACTAGGGATACTGACCCACCCAATATCCGTTTTATTTAGCATATTATTTCTTCAGTTCATCTCAGTAACTTTTGCTAAGGATTTTGTTTGCTTCATTACCTTATAACAGGTTAAAAGTGCCTATGATAGGACTTAATTATTTCCTAAAGAAAAGCAAAAAAAATGTGGGGAACAGGGTAGTGTTACACTATCATCTCAGGTAGTGCCTGTGTTCACAAACATAGATCTGGTGTGGGGTTGAACAAAGGGGTCCTAAGCCAGAAACCGTCCACTATGTCCGAGTTATGGGGGCCACAAGCGATCAGAGCTGCATGACTGCTTTGAAGATTCTACCACAGGGGAGGGGGGGCCTGATGGTACTGGCCTCTGGCTGTGTGGCAGATCCCCCTCCCCTCCCTGGGGCTTGTTGGCTGGCCTGGCTCCTTGTCCCCATGGTAGGTGGCTCAGGTGGGAGAAGCCATTGAGAGTGTGATATAGACAGGGTCTTCTCCCCAGAGGGCCCAGGCCAAGGTACTTGGACAATAGTCACGTGGCCGAGCCTCCTCACAAGTACCCTGTAGCAAGCACATCAGTACTCCTGAGATTCCTGTGCAGAGGAGGAGCAGCGGCTCAGCCGCATGGATCAGAGGGGCATACGAGCTCGTGGTCTCTTGCAGTCTGTGAAGGGACTGTTAGCAGACAGCAATATAAAGGTAGATACTCGGAGACTGAGCGGGCATCAAGTTCTGTTCTGAAATGCTCCCTGCGCGGAGGGCGCTCCCCGTGGTAGCTTCCAGGGGACGCTGAGAGGTGGTTCTCCAGGTAGAAGGCAAATCCCAGAGAGCTGGCTGGATGTTGTGGAGCTCAAAGTCTGCCTACCCAGGGTCACACCTTGGGTTCTCCAGGGGCTGAGTTGAGGGAGGGGACACAAGCTACTGAGGAGGGACTGGATCTACAAAGCGCAGTGAGTGGTTCCATTGTAGGCCGGGTGGGATTGGCCCAGTGGAAACTGGTGCATCTGAGCACTGCAGGGAAAGCAACGGGCCTTCGTACAAGTCGACCTGAGTGAGTGAAGAGTGGGTCAGATGCGGAATCCCTCCCGGGTAGGCCCCTCCAAAAGGGAGGGCTGGATGCATGTGAGCACACAGAAAGCCAAAGTCCGTCGGCAAACTTAGACTGATGCCTTCCCAAAGGAACCCCAGGGCCGGGCTAGCAGGGGGGCAAATCCCCTGGCCTGGAGAACCATTGATCACCTGCTTGAGAGCTCTGGATGTTGTCATGCAAACCACCCCCACAGGTCTCCGAGGCTGGGAGACGGATTGTCGAGATGAGATGACACAGGTGATGTGGACTTTTGTGTAGAGACTCAACAATGTGCTACAAATGTGATACTTCACTCCGAACTGCATGTATGGGGGATTGTCTTAAAGAAAAGAACTTTCATTGAATCAATAAATTAACAGTTTTTCACCTGCTGGCTCTTCTTGCTCTAAGTGGTGGCTAAGGTTGGGACAGAAATTCTGACACCCAGCTGGGATCCTTGGATAACTTCAAGAACCATGAAGCAGACCGTCTTCCCTGCGTTTGCAGAGAAGCAGCACTCCTGGGTAGAGCTCCTTCACAGTGACTCGTCAGACACCACTGGCCACCTGTTGTCTCCCTGGATAACTTGTGGGGTCGATGTGTTGCTGCCCTTAGAGGGAGGATAAAGGCCATGTTCAATTCCTATTTTCACAAATAAAATGTTGGTGATCACCACACTTCCCAAGTGAAGATCAGCTGTGGCTGTGAGGACCTTAACTTGTTTCCCGTCTGGGGGTGGTGGTGGGCTTGCCACCTTGTGTCTGTAGTGGCCACCTTTGATCACCTTTAGCAGGAGAGAATCGGCATGGGGCGGCTCAGCTTCATGGCCCGTAGAATGGTGCCCTGCTGCTTGGCATTGGCCCAGCTTTGTTGCATGATTAACCTTGTGACAGCTCTGTGAAGCCCCCGGCCCCTGGTCTTTTTATCACAGGTGTGCAGACCTGGGCATGCACTGTTTGGTGGAAGATCGTGTTTGAGTTGATGTACTTCCGACTCAGATAGATCCCATCCCTCCGTGGAATCAAACGCTTGAAAAATCCACTGCCGGTGTGCTTAATGTCAAATGCATAATTTGTAACCTGGCACAGCCTTTCCCACATACTAACAAGAACCCTTTACCCAAAGAAAGGTTCGTGACGTGGCCTTTCTGCATGGCACCGTCTTGGCTCTTAAGCACAGCCCCCTCAGTGCTGCAGGGCCATCCTGTGCTCGCTGCTGCTGGCCTGCCACCCACCTCCCTGTGCTGCACCTGGGTGGAAGATTCAGAAACCCTTTGAACTCTTCTGTGGTACACTCGGTACCCTGCCTGGGTGCATACAGAATGCCCTTCTGATTTATAATCCCAGTTAAATCTGTGGTGAGGTCTGATGAGCCAGACTGGACTGCTGGACATGTGGATCCTAGGGCTGCACCAAGCCCATTCTGAAGCTTGACTTCACAGAATGGCCAAGAAGCTAAGTCAGCACCCTGGACCAGAGGGAAGGAAAGGCTAGGAGACCAGGCCACACCACACACGGAGTGCCCAAACTTGTCACAAGAGGAAGAGGACACTGAAGGGACTTCCTATCGGGGTTTCCCACCCCATGGCCTGAGAAAACCCAGCCTACTGCCCCCAGTACCCCACTCAAGGGCCGTCAGCAGAGAGCCTGATCCTCGTTCGGTCAGATTGATTAATGCCGTCTTTCCCTCCTCCCGTCTCTCTCCCCAGGTCTGTTGCGGTTCCTCCCACTTTTCCATAAGCAGAGCAAGAACCAAACCAAACGTCCTAACGTGTAGAGAACACGTTCCATGAGCAGACACAAACAGTGGCGGGTTAACGCAAGCACGAACTAGACCAACCGAAGGGCCGCCCACCACTGGGTTATCAAACCTCACTTCCGAATGTAAAAGGCTCACACGCCTTTGGCTTCCTGTTGACTTCCTCCTGGC